CATACAAGTTCAGAAGATAACACGTTTGCACGCATTCCAGACCATTTAACCTGTGCGCATGCGTTAAATTATTACTTGTTTTAACGCGTGCTAACCTGCGTTAGGGTATCAAAAATATTTCATGGGGATCTCCTTACAAAAAAAAAACCAATTTTCGTTAAAAGAACTGAAATTGAAGTAAATGTATAGAATGATAGTTTGTCTTCAAGTCTTTTCACAGCAATATGGTATTTTTTCTTCCTGAACTTTAGTTTTTTGTCAAAATTTTGAATGATATTCGTTCGTTAATTATAAAAAAGACAAGTTGTTTTCACAAAAGTCAGAAGATCTTTTGTGATTTTCTCTTTCAGTGCATACTTTATGGAGTTCTTGAAGGAACTTTAAAAATAATGAGGAACTGCGACATATATCATCGATACAGAATTGCAAATCGAAGTAATGGTAACAACTTGTTCGATAATTTTATAGCGGTTATAAAATATGAAAAGATCGATTAATAATAAGAGTGAAATGTAATGAAATGGGGGAGAACATAATAGTATGTCTCTTAGAGAACAATTAATTTTCGAGATCTATCTATGATAACATTTTATAGACGAGAAAGAATCTGTAAAATGAAGAACTCATTTTTATTCATCTCGAATTTTATAATTATAATGGCCATCTATCTTTCAGACACATTGAAATAGGTTTATGTTACAAACTAGAATGAAAATCTGTTTAATATATATGAATTAACCTATCTTTATGACGATACTAATAATAGCTTTTTACTAGTATTAAACGTAATAGCTTTTTACTAGTATTAAACGATTTTAAATCGAATTTAAGAAAGTAAAAAGAAAATAAAACCTTTTCTATTTCTGATAGTAATAAACATCATTTTGATGCTATCTTTTTTTTCCTAATAGAAACACAATGATTTACCTTTCTTGGACTTATTGTTGCCGCGTTCTTGTTTTGATGTATATTTTTCTACATCTTGAGAGACTTCAGACACATTTACTTTCGTAATTTGTTTTGATTTTTTTTCATGCTGTGCTTTTATACCAGACATTACAGCTGTTGGTGCAGTTAAAGTTACACCTCCGTACACTTTCCGATTTAGATCAGAGGAGAATGCAGCAGGGACCCATGAACATTTGGAAGAGTCATTACTCATAGTGTAATCGTTATCATGACTATCATCATAAAACAATTTAAATTTCTCGACTGTAAATTTTAATTTTGCTTTTTTTTGAATTAACGATTGTTTAACGTGTTTTGATAGTGCTTGTTCTCGGTCATATTTCAACCAATCTATGAGACTTTGTTTAAGATTATTTTTTTTACAAAAGAATTGTTTGCATAGGTTTCTTGATATGGCATTTAATATCTTTTCGTCTACTTCATTAGAACCTGTAGGATAATGGCCGATTTTTTCTTTAATCTCTTTCAAATAAGTATCAAGTGCTGTATCATTTTCGATTCGTGAAGCAAATTCACATTGACTTTCATATCTGGCTTGAATAGTACGTGATATAAAACTCAACTTTAAAAGCTCTTTCAAACGTAATAGCTCTGGAAAATATTCTCCAATTTCATCATAATATTTTGTGAATGTACGTGCAAATTGAGCTTCAGCTGACTGATCATCTTCTTTATCATCTTTATCATCAATTAAATTACCTTTTTCGTCATACTTCATTCGATGTTGTTTAACACACATTTTCAAATTGTCACTCAAATAAAATTGTACAATATTTTCATACGTTCGACCAAAAATACCTTTGTAGAATGTTTGCTCATAATCAATACTAGATTGTGGCTGTATCCAGAAACGATGAATACTATCTGTTATTATCCCAGACTTCTTTGTTGCAATTGCTTGCAATTCTTCACGTATATATGCGGGTAAGCGTTGCATCAGATTCTCGGCTGATGGACGCATTTCAAATGGTTCGAACGCATTAATCTCAACGCCTGTTGAAATCATTTTTAATAGATAATCTGCGTGAAGTAGGGTGAGCAAATAGTTAGGCGTTTGTGAAAGACGTTTGGGTAAATATCTCATTTCGTTAAATGGATGTGAATGATAGTCTGTATTAGGCGGATCCAACGTAAAATGAGCGAAAAAAATACCATTTCTTAGGGTATCCATCACATCCGTAGCATCAAATAAATTGTGTTCATTTTTCTTGGCTTGTCGAAACATGAATTCAATTTCTCCTGTATCATTGTCCAATGTAACACCAACAACCTATGAATATCCTGGCTGTTTTAACTGCAATCGATGTTTTGTATTTAGCAACCAACCATCATCTGTTCTTGGCAATAATGTCCAACATAATAGATCTTCCACATCATCCAATCACGCTCGTACAACAAATCTTCCATACAGTCTTCACGTTCATCTTCAAATCTCGTATTATCAATCCAATCTTTCCAAACACCTTCAAAAAAGTAATATCGATACATTGAATTCTTTGGTGCCATTAATTTCAAATATTTCGAGAGAAGTTCATTACCAGCATATCCCATATAGACCATATCGTGTATCATACTAGTTGGTGGTGCATGTGTCATTGGATTAACTTTAGATAATTGCAGAATGTTTTTTAATAATTCATCCAATACTACTTCATGAAAATCTTTGATAACAAGTTCACCTCCATATCTGTCTTTGTGTGGTAACTACTATTCTCTTAGCGAATAAATCAGTGGAACGCAAAATCAATGTGTACAGTAATTTATAAATATGCAATTGAACATATAATGGTAGATAATGTCTTGTAAAAAGAAATATTTCAATAGCTAGATCGAATATGATGGAACGATAAGCATACATTTCAGCTGACGTACACGCGGAGCTCATCATTGCTTTATAGAAATATAAACAAGATATGGTTAAACTAGTGGCAAAATGTGTTGAACTGCCAGATATAGCCATAATTAAATCAATATAAGAATATGCTGCTTGAACAGGATTATTATCTGTCAATCGTTTCAAAATTGCACGTTCATACTTCTTTAACATTATTAAGCGTTCTGTTCTTTTCAAAAAATTCAAATTTTTTATTTGAGTTGGTGGAGTAACATCAGCGAGATTGAATGAATCGCTTTTTATATCATTAATTAGTGATTGACGGGCTGTTAAATGAAAGTATGAATGGTTTAAAAATAAAATGAGACTATCCATTAGTGCATCATATGGATGAGACAGTAGAGCATCATGTGTAGAGCGTAATGATTGAACGGAGTTATTTTCAAGTTTGAAGATCATGGCTTGAATTAAATACATTTTTGCACGATATTCTGGTGGTTGTACTTCTGAAATTTTCAAGCGACCCAGACATTGTTGAAGTAACTGTTTCAACTGTTCGAGATAATAATTTTTTGGATTAAGTAATGTTTCCACTAGTTCTACGCAAGATTTATAGGTGCTAGCTTTGAGATTATTAAAAACTTTTGCTTTTTTCTTTAGTTAAAAGTGGTTGATTTAATGCTACTAAATTACGCATAGATTCATTCGATAAATTATCAAATGCCAATAGAATATGTACGCCGCCATTGATTAATCGGTCATTGTTACTGCTGTCATTATTTGTTTTTTCAAGTTCATTTAGTATTAGAAGATGATATTTAAACAATTCCGTTTCGTTGAATGGATTACTACTATCCATTTCAAAATAGAATGGCCGGTCAGTGTTGACCTTATAGCTCCGGAACGGTGATAGATAGAGAGGTGCGGTTTTCACCATTCGAAAGAGAAATATGGGGCTACG